TCTCTCTCTCTCACTGTCCCCTGACAAAATTGCATGCTTTCAGCCAAAAGGCTCGCCCTCTCGCCCTGAGTGATCGTCCGAGCCAATGCGCTCAGCGGGTGAGAATAGCCAAAAGGCTCGCCCTCTCACTCCGGGTGAGAGGCCTATAACTGCGCTATTCTCACCCGGATGAGAATAGAGGTGGCCTTCATAATGATACTTGAGCGACAGCCTGGCTCATTCAAACCTTTATTATGATACTGGGAAATACAGTTTATACACCAGTGGTTTAGATTCAACAAAGTCGCCAGGACTAGCCTTCAATTTAGTTTAATCTGGGTGTTTGTTAATAGCAAATGAGGTTTATGTATGTATTTTATAATGTATTCGACTTTCTCAATCAAAAGCAGTTTGTTTTCAAATAAGAGGCATTTTCATTTCCTCTGATACCGAAGAAATGCCTGAAAGTTGCAGGAAAATACATTGAACAGTAAACTCTACCAAACACACACTGCAAAAGGACTGATTCCTTCAAATGCACGCCTGTGTCATCCATCATCTATACTTATTGGTTGCCGAACAAGTTATGTTGCTGTGTAGAGCCTAGCATACGGCTACGTTTAATTCCACAGTCCAGCCCGCAATTCATTCATAGATCTATGTCAAGATTAGCTTATATCATATCAGAGGCTGGGGCAAAAAATAACTTGACGTGTTTGTATCTCCACTGACCTTCTACGTACGGACCTCTTGTACCCCCATCCCCCTAGACCATGGAGGCCAGATCGCCGGATTTTGCCGGCAAACCGGAATTTTGAACGGTCCGACCAAGCTTTACCGGAATCTCGCCGGCATCAATCGATTGCGATCATACCCCCGACGGGGTGGACTTTGCGATTTTGTTCCGTATCTTGTGCTCCCGTCACATGGACGGGAACGGACTCCAGTGCTAGTTTTGCAACTTGTTTCATTTCATGCCGAGTTTGGCAGAAGTTGCATGGTAGCTTTTTAAGTAATTGAAGGTGAAGGACAGTCACTTCAACTGAGGTTGAACTGACCGGAACTTGCGTTATGGTTTTTTTTCTATACAGCTGATAGTAATTTGACAGTCACGTCGCGAAGTAACGGTCGAAGAAGTAGCATGAACAAGAATCATATATAATTTCGCTGTTTTCTATACTTCTGTTCGTTTTACTAGATCAAGTTTTAGTGACTCAGAATATGATGTGTCTGATAGTTAGGATCCTGGATATGTGCCCGAGTCATAGTTTTAGGGCTAAATCTCGATCTAGCACTAGAAGATCTCTTGTACTGGTGTTATTGTTTGCGCAATATTGGTCCTGCCTCTGTAAAAATAAAGTGGGCTTTCACCATCGGTATCCTGCTTTTGAAATTTGATTTTATTCCAATCTCTTCAAAAGTTGCAGTTGTTTTATAAGTACGTTTTGCTTTGTTTTGATACCTAGTGTCAGTGCCATGATTGTGAGTTAAGAATCCCGTCTTTTCTCATTTTGTTCGGCATCAAGACAGAGTTTAATTTAGGTTCAGGCTTCACTTTGTTCTCTTCTTCCCATAAAGTAGGCTACTTGCATGTCTCAAAGATTCCCACTCGTGAGGACTGGGAACAAACATAGCTAAATCATCTCTCAATACCTAAACCGTTTGCCACATATTTCTTCTAATCCAGAAATTCTTTTTTGTACAAGATTTCAAGATGCTGTTGCAAATTTCAGTTCATTATGACTTTGTTCTAGTGTACTTGTAATTCATATATATCATTATCATATAATATATTGCATTATTTCCGCTTTGAAGATTTTAATTGTAGAGAGGGAGTGGACTGAAAATATTGTTTGTCTTATTTGGATGGAAGTAGAAATGAACACCCCTCTCTCCTATCCGCTGAATCTGATGGTATTAACTTCTTCTTCTACAGCTTGCTCTCACCAGTGTCGCCTTTTTACCCACAACAGAATCGACTGTGTCAAAGCAAGAACTGCTTATTGCACGTAGGTGTTTCTATTTTGTCTTTGTTTCGTCTTCCTGCACTTTTGGCATGGTTGTATTCTGCTCCAATTTTTGTTTTAGGACATTTACTGCTTCAGAAACCTATTTGAAATTGTTGGCAACAATAAAAAAAAATTTTTTTTTTTTTTTAAATTAAAAAAAGAAGAAAAGCTAGTTTTGGGTCAGACCGTCAGATGTGAACATGATTATCATTGGAAAGATGATAAATTTATACTTTTTATGTGTATGTTACCTAAAGTGAAGGATATTTCGGTTTTGTGTTCCCACTGAGCAGAAGTGAAATTTATAATTGATATTTCTATGAATAACAGAAATTGCATCTTAAAGGCTATGTGTGGCCTTTTCAATGTATAGTCGAACCTTTTCAAACAGCTACCTGTATAAACAATTACCTCTACAAATAGCCACTTTCCATTTCTTCCCTTGCATATTTTTATCTTAGACAGTTTCAACTGTTTTATAGTTTCCTGGTTATATTTTTTATGTATTTTGGTAAAATAATTTTTTGGTTTATTTTTGTTTTGCAGGAGAGAATTTTTTTCTTAGACAGTTTCAACTGTGTATAGTTTCCTGATTTTATTTGTATGTATTTTGTTAAAGTAATTTTTTGTTTTGCAGGAGATATTCTGGAAATTGGTGCACAATGGGCGATAGCGAAAAAAGATATTCCCGGCTTTGAGAGATACATGGCACAACTGAAATGTTACTACATGGATTACAAGTAAGTTCATTTTTGCTTTCATTCATTTCTTCTAAGCCTGCTATATGCAGTAGTTTGTTATCATCAAAACTGTTGCGTGTAGGGGCCCTCAGTACATAATTGTGCTGCTGCTACTGAGTTACAGAATGCTCATGATTTATAGGTCCTGTTCTCTTGACTTATAATTGTGTCTGTTGTCCTTTCATTGTCAAAGGTTGTTTTATATGGGTTTATCCTAACGACTTACACTTACAGTAAAAACCTTATTTAGACTTACATTTGTGAGGCAGCGTGGTGGAATCAGGCTCTCTTCAAAATAATCAAAGAGAAGGAACTTGCATTTTTCCGCAGGTTTGTGAATTTTTTTCAAATTTTTGTTTTTTGGATCAACACCTTTCATACCCATTAAAGAACTCATTTATATGTGGATTTTTCTGAAAAACGTGGATTAAAGGTACAAAAAATGTAAATTTTTAGTTACCACGGATTCTTAAGCTAACGATATAACTATTCTTTGGCGGCCATTTTCCCACTAATTTTGCCTCTGAAAATAGGTGAACCCCACCTCCTTCTTTCGCACATATCTCGACTTGTATTCAAGATAAATGGATATTTTTTTCATCCAAAGAAAGACAAAGTAAACAAGCTTTAAGATGATACCAATAACTCTGCATGCCCGAAAATTGAGGAGAGCCTGATTCCACCGCGCTGCCCCACATATTATGTCCTTTATTTAGACCCACATTTGTTGTTCTGTATTGTGTTTACACTTTGCCGTCACATCTGGCTGATCTGCGACAATAACCACCCAGTTTCTTTGGATTTTCCCCTAAATGCCTTTGCCTTTGATGGCAAGGGTTTTTCCTATATGAGCCTTGTGATGGCAAAGTGTTACGGGTAGAGGTCTCAAAATAAAGGTTAGATATTTATTTTTTTTTAATTTCTTTTTCTCTTCCACAGAGATGATCTTCCAGAGTCAACTTTCAAGTACCAGCTGTTGGGTCTCAACTTGTTGTGTCTTTTGTCTCAAAACAGATTAGCTGAGTTCCATACTGTGAGTATAATGGTTTGTTGTCATAGTAACAGGCATTGCTGCTGTCGGCAGGTTTCGGAAATATTAGCTATTTACCTTTGTTTTTATCCTTCAAAGTTGTAAGTCAGTGCCTGTGGATATATATATTTATGAGAATTGCAGTAGACTTTTGTGCCTTCAATATTCAGGACACTTTCACTACTGCCAGTGGTAATGATAATAGTTTCACTTGCCCACCGTATATCCTGTTGTCTTTATTAGATGGAGGGTGGATAATGGGTATTCTGGTTAGGCTTTCGTCATTCTTCTTCATTTGAATGATCATACTGCTCTACCATGTTCCTGAAGAAAATAGAATGAGTGGTTGGAGGGCGCCACTGGTAGATCTTCTTTTTATCTTTCCCTCTGATGTTTCTGTCTACCTCAGGGATGCCAAATCTCAGGTTTTTCCAGGTTGTTGTTTTTTTTCCAAAAATTATTTGGCGTCCCTGAAGAAGAAGGCCACTGCCATAAGGTCCTTCTTCTCAAAACAGATATAATATTACTGGAATTGATGAAACAAAGTCCCCAAACCCTTGCAAAGTAAAGGGGAGAGGTAAGAGAGGTGTTTTTGTGTGCTCATTTAATACCTTTACAAGGTTTGTTTTAGGTGAGATGTGGTGCTCCACTCATTTTCTGGGATTTTTTTTCAAAAATCGTTTGTCATCCCTGCTACCTGTCTTGCTTCTTCCCTTCACTAAGCGGCCATTCTTGTGTTGATATTCTTCTCTCTACTCAAACTCAGGAGAAGAAAGTGGCAATATTATTGTGATGTGCATTTGATGTAAAAATCAATTTGCTCGTCTGAGATGAATGATTTTATTGTTTGGCCATCAACTTTCTTTTAATAAATACACTTTGACCAATGCCCACAACAGCCCTTCATTGTGATTTTGTGATCTAATGTCAGTGTTGTTGTTCATTTGTTCTATTGAAGGAACTGGAGCGTTTGCCTGTAAAGGAGATTCAGTCTAACATTTACATCAAACATCCAGTGAGCATGGAGCAGTATCTGATGGAGGGAAGCTACAACAAGGTAAGTTGCTCTCGTCTGTCTATTGACGCTTATGTCTGCTTATTGTGTTACCTGTTGAAATCGACTGTTTGGTAGTTGGGTCAGAGTTTTGCAGTGCTCGCAACTGTCCACTGTTTCACAATGATGTCATTTTATTTATTAATTTTAACTTACTCCCGCAGAATGCCCTGTTCTGAATTGAACACACTCCCTCTGTATCAAAATTAAATTTTTTTTAAGTATTGTTTTCAAAAGCAGCTAGGCACGATTGAAATATCAAACCAATTGCATAACTTGCGTTATAAAGTTTTAATTGAGGTAGCAGTTATTGTTTTGAGACATATCCCCATTTACTGGCTGATCAAAGTTGGTCCACTAAACAATTGGAGTTCTATCTTCTTATTTTTCATTGTCCCGTCTGTCTGACTCAACAACTAAATGCAGAGATCTAAATCTTCATCAATGTTTGATTCCTCTCTCTGGCGAGGCATAAGTTCATTTAATCCTCCCCTTCATTGTCATGATATAACTGTATAGTTGACCATCACAGAAGAGACCAAAAATTGCACAAGGAGGTTTGTTTATGAAATGAATTTCTTCAGTAATTTTTTATATACATTTTGGATTATCAAAATTTGTTAAATAACGTACTTTTATGTGTTTCTGGTTTTTGCTTTTTTTCAGGTGTTTTTGGCCAGAGGCAATGTCCCTGCTGAAAACTACAACTTCTTCATTGACATTTTACTCAACACCATCAGGTAGGTCATTCCCATGTGTTGTCGTCACGTGTGCCAGCTGGGGTAGGTTTGGGGCGTTAACTGTTTGAGATAAATGTGTGGATCAAATGAAAGTGGCACGGGTCAATGTGTGGATCAAATGAAAGTGGCACGGGTCTTTAGCATGAAGAGTTGAGACCCCTGTTGTAGTGGGTGTTTGGTGGGTGTGGTTTGCTCCTTCTTTCCTATCAAACATCTATCACCCTTACCTCTCCTCTTCTTTGCATCTTACTCTCTAGTAACACCTCTAATCTTTGACACTATTGTGATCTATTCTTATTGCAAGTGACGCAAAAAATGTTACTAAAACAAAACTAAACCCAACCTCTGTGGTAAATGGTCCTTTTTTGAGCATGATATGTTCATTTGTTTGTGGTCTGTGTGGGGTTATCTTCGTTTGTCTGTTGTGATATATGTCCCCTTGTAGTGCAGAGGCTTGGTCCGCTGCTACTCAACGCTCTGTGAATTGTGCGCTGATGAAACTATAGAGTTTCCCTAAATAAAGTGTTTCCCCCTTTCCTGTCCCACGCCTGCCAAATACTCCCAATAAAATCGGAGCTCTACAATTTTTTGTGCCTGTCAAAGAGCCCTGATCAGATTTGCATAAATTCAAATTTTATCTTGAATTTCACAGGACCAATGTTTTAAGTTTTTAATTTCACACACAACTAGAACACTGTCAAGTGGGTGGTTGGCGGGTGCTCTGGTGTGGTTTGCTTCTTCTGTCTTTCCTATCAAACATCTATCGTCCTTATCTCCCCTTCTTCTTTTTTATGTTTGTTACTCTCTTGTAACACCTCTAATCTTCTTATGACCTTATGCAGTTGCGAGTGCCGTAAAACCTCTACTAAAACTAAAACTGTCATCTTTGCCAAAAGATTAGCCTCTTGTGTCATTTTTAATGAAAAATGTTCTTTCCTTTTATTCCTGGCCCTGATATTCTACTCCAAATATCTTTACCTTTGTCTAGGGATGAAATTGCGGGCTGCATTGAGAAGGCTTACAATCAAATTGGACTGAGTGAAGCTGCCAGGATGTTGTTCTTCGAGTCCCAAAAGCCCATGAAGGATTATGCAGCAAAAGTAAGTTGTTTGTTGTTTTGAAACTTGTTTTGATTGGAATCCAATACATAATATATAGTCTAGCATGCACATACACAATTGTTGGGATGTGAGACCTTTTTCTTTTTGTTGGAGTTTCGCTATATGAGAATTTCTCGTATGTTTGTTGGGGGGGGGGGATTCTGTTTGAGCAATCTCTTTTAAACCAAAGACCCGGCAAATTAAAAGAAAATCAGGCGGCCTCACATATTTCAGTTTATGCTGACTCTACTGTGTACTTTAATTTTTTAGCTGGATATTTTGTTTTGGCTTTTTATCCTGTCAAGCAGTAGAATTTGGGCTTTTTCTTGAATTGTATTCTTTATTTCAACAGTGTATAATTCTATGGTGGCTACATATTTCAATGTTCTCATGAATCCTGAAGTTTGGCATTTGTGATAGGTAGCGCCACCTACAGTGATGTGATGTGCGCAGCATATTGTTACTTGTGAGATTGAACAATGTGTGCTCATACATATCACAACATTCTCTTGATATTTTCTCTCTGTCATATTTTTGCATCAATGTGTAAGATTGAACAATGTGTGCTCATACATATATATATATATATCACAACTGTCTTTTGATATTCTCCCTGGGTCATATTTTTGCGTCAGTGTGTAAGATTGAACATGTGCTGGTACATATCACTTATCACAGCTGTCTTAAGATATTTTCTCTCGTTCATATTTTCGTGTCAGTGTGTAAAATTGAACAATGTGTGCTATCACAACAGTCTTAGGTAACATTTTGTAGTTCATGTTTTCATGTAAATATCACTATCCCTGACGAGATCTTATCTTGTTTTCATATAAATGTTGTTAAGACCTTATCTGTGGATGATTGGCGGGTGTTCTGGTGTGGTTTGCTTCTTCTTTCCTATCAAACATCTATCATCCTTATCTCCCCTTCTTCTTTTTTATGTTTGTTACTCTCTTGTAACACCTAATATTCTGGCGGTCATATGACCTTATGCAGTTGCGAGCGCCTTAAAACCTCTACTAAAGAAAGAAAGACCATATCTCCATAAATGTCACCGTTATTTTGACTCGCTATGTACTTTCACTAAATGTCATGAATTTCTTTTACAGAGAAACTGGAATGTAAGGAAAGACAACTTCTTCTACTTCACACAGGAAGCCAAGAACATGGACCGTGCCATCCCAGCTCGCCTGCTGGCCGAGCAGAATATTGTGTATGCACGAGAGTTAGAAATGATAGTTTGATCTTTCTGTCTTTAGCTTTCTGACTCCCGTCACTTTTGTAACATGTCTGTGAACTTGTCTTGGGTTTTCACGGGAAGAATCGTTTTTGGAGGGTTTTTTTGTTTTGGGTGGGGGGGGGGGGGGGGGGGGGGGGGGGGGTGTGGGGGATTTGGTTTTCATCAACACTGGATGACAGGCAGGTGTGGTGATTGCTGTGGGAATGAAAAAAGAGATGATGAGGAGGAGGAGCGTCTGAAGGAAGGGAGCTGTGTGAAGTGTGTACATAGAGGTTTTTCACTCACCTTTTGAATCAGTTGTCTGGATGAAGGTACCATGGATTGTCAGACTGTGAACAGGTGTGTGTTTGTGTGTGTGTTGTTCTGTGAATGGTTGGATGAATCAAACTCGTGTATTATTGAAACTTTTTTTTTTGGACTCCATGAATAAAGTTAGCAAATTAATTTTCCATTTGCGTGCTCCTTGTTATTTATTCTGGTAATTTCTAGAGGCTTTGGGCTATAAATCTATGTTATAATTGAGGTGACCAAGATATAGATCGTGGGTGGTTGGAGGGTGCTCTGGTGTGGTTTGCTCCTTCTTTCATGTCAAAGATCTGTCATCTTTATACTTTATCTCCCTCCTTTTTTTTGTGTTTGTTACTCTCTTGTAACTCCTCTAATCTTCAGCACTTATATGACCTTATTGTGTTGCAAGTGCCGTAAAACTCTAACGAAAAAAAAAAAAAGATGTATATCAGAAGTGATAACCCCTTCTTTGCCTTATGACCTATCTGGTAGGCTGCATCATGAAAAAGGTTAATTTTTAGCTTTGTGTTGTACTTTGGACATCATGGAAGTTGGCAAAGTTTGCTGTTACTGGTTGCCTGTACTTGCTCTTAACGCTAATTCTTCTGAAAGATTTAGATACAAGAACGGCGTGGATTCGTGTTGGGGGGGTGTCTAGTCTTGCAGATGAACGCGTCCCCTCACAAAAATTAACACCAAAATAACTTTTAAATAAAAATAGGCAGCAAATTTCACATTTTGATTTAATTACATTTGCAAGTTCATTAAAATTACGGGGAATGTAGGGAATGAGGAAAGTGACACTTCCAAAGACCCTGGGTCCGAATACGTCATGAGTTGGCGACATTTAATGATGTCCTGTCTTACGAGCTTAGCTGAAAATCGCTGATCACAGTAACAAAGCTCACCCTCTGGCAATGAAGGTGTTAAAAAAATATGTGAGGCAGTGTGGTGAAATCAGGCGCTCGTCAAAATAATGAAAGTCGATAATTTGGCATTTTTCTGCAGTTTGGGAATTTTTTTCGAATTTTTGTTTTTTGGCTCAACACCTTTCATGCCCATTAAAGAACACATTTCTGTTTGGATTTTACTGGAAAAACGTTGATTAAAGGCAGAAAAGATACATTTTCATTTTCCACAGACTCTCAAGCTAAGTAAATAACTCAACCTTGGCGGCTATTTTCTCGCTCATTTTCCCTCTGAAATCAGGTGACCCCACCTCTTTCAGTCGCCAATAGCTTGACTTGTATCCAAGATTTTAAAAAAATTTATAAATATTTTTTTCATCAAAATCAAGGCAAATGGACAGGATTTAAGAAGATGATACCAATAACTCCATATGTCCTAAAATTGACAAGCGCCTGATTCCACCGCATCACGACACATTATTTTGCTGAAACGGAGAAAAGTTACATTAATGCAAGAATCGACATACTGAGCTAGGAAAAAGCAAAAGAGCAGACAGGAAAGAAGTTCACTACAGCCACACCCTACAACCACCCCCAACAATTTGAAAAGCCAACATGAAAATGAAAAGGAACAATCACTAAAGACTAAAGAGACAAAAATAGAAATCAATAAAAGCAAAAGGCAAAAAAGACTCCTCATTTTTGCTTTATTCCTCGGTTCAATAAATTCCAAAGTGATGAGAAACGTACATATATACTCCATTGTCATAACCATTCACTCAAAACCCAAAATCCACATTCGTACAGAGAAAAACTCATCTTGCATCATAAAAACCCATTCAGCTAGTTGTCTGTTTAAACACAAAGAAAATCTACATTCATAACACCATTCTACACCCAATCAAATTCGAGTACGGTACATAAATTAAATATATGAATATATATATATAGAAAGGTGTATCAATAAAATGGAGCAGACGCAAAAACTGGTCAAACCACAACATACAGTATAACACGGATAGCTCGAATTCGCCGGGACCGGCCTTGGTAGTTTGATGGATATATCTTACAACGATAAAGAAGGAAAAAAAACAGTACCGCAGGCACAGTTCCACAGACGCATGATTTCGAGTCGTCTATGTTCAACCTATCCGTGTTACACTGTTGTGACAAGAAAAAGCTATCATGTACATGCATTGTCATACAATATATCATTACTTCACAATGGAACCTCTCTCCAGACATCATCACTGAAAACAACATCAAGACGTGATGATGGATGTGTTGCACACAAACGAACGAGTATTTCAGGATGAAAAAAGGAAGACGGCATCACAATAATAAGACAACATAGCTGCTTTGTATTCCTTTTCAAAACATGAAACAGCCAAAATGCCCAGCTAGAAACGCACAAATTTATTCCACAAACCAGTAAACTGAAGTGTTAGGTCAAACCAACGTGAATTTCTCCAAACATCGCCTTATGTTGTTTTATTTATTTTATTTAGTAGAGGTTTTACGGCGCTCGTTACTGCATAAGGTCATATGAGCGCCAAGGGGTGGATGTCAACAGAGAAGTCTTTACAGGGAATCTGGCTTACTCTGCTCACCTCTCTAGCTTCAACAGCACGAAGTCTGTTTCGACTTTCAAGGCACCCCAAAAATAGCGGGTCACAAGAGTGTGACAAACATAGAAAAGAAGTAGAGGAAAATGACGGTAGTAAGGACCGCATACAGAAGAAGATAAAATTTACAACAATGAAAGCTTAAAAACAATTTGACCAATCATAAGACAAAAATTCTTGCAAAACAAGTTACCGGTAGTTGTTTCGTGTATTATTTCTCCCATACCCTGTATACCTGAATCCCATTTCAATGCTCCGTTTCTATTCATGGTCACAGAATCTGAAGTAGGCTACATTAATTAAGGCACATGACAATGACATGAAAAGGGCAGAATTCAACACAACAGAAAGGGCAGACGGTACCATACACTCATACTTTGATGTATGTCACAAGAGAGTTGTGTATTACATCTTAAAACCAAAGTCTAAACCTAGGACTAGGACTTCTGGCTTGAGAGACATGCAGCACCGCACACACTACAGACAACAATACAACCAGAACAAGAAACGTTTTCGGCCAATACAAGTTTCTGTGAAGAACTCAACTTTCCATGAACAGATGACAAACACATCAGTTAACTTTTAAGGGAATTAACACATATAATAGTTTCTACAGCTTCTGGACTCTCCGCAGAGAGCGGGACACCAGAAAGCACATTCTTCACCCACCTTTACACGACACCCCATTTTGACTTTTTCATTATCATTTCCCTACCACTAAGTCAGTTAATTAGTTTCATCGGACTTTAACTTTCAATGCATTTGTGGATTTGTGTAAATTTTATCAGGCTATTTTCCCTTCATCATAAAAAAATCCACTCCACTAACTGTAAGAGTTTAACACAACTGCCATCTTGAATTCAAGGAGGCTATACATACTGCCATCTCCAGGCAAAGCAACATCTGACATAATTGAGATATTTAGTTTCGTTTGGTTGGTCTAACCCATATCCTCACTTCTTGTGTCAAAGTCAACAGAGGCAGGGTGACAAAGCTGCATCCAAAAGAGTAGTTTTGAAAGTGGTAAAGCTACGTAACTGACAGACCTCAATCTCACTGTCGATGGCACAGTGATGTAGGCCTACATGTGTATATATCTACATTTCCACTCACACAATCGTTTTTAAAAGTGATAACTTTGGACAGACCAAGCACCAAATGAATTTTTTTTCTTCTCAAAATGATTAAATGTGCAGCATGTCTTTCAGCCTTTGGACAGCAACTTAACCCAACACACACAAATTTGTGAACTTAAGAAAAGGAGAAAAAAAAGGGCTGCAAAAAAACACCGGAACAATAAAGGAGAAGCACTATACAACATCCGCACAGCAATGTTGGTGTTTGAGTTATTATATAATAATATTAATAATAATATATAACGTTTATATAGCGCATTTCCAAAACAAGGGAAATTTATTATTAGTACTGGGGAAAAAGAAGCAAGGCAAATGGAAACATGAACAGAGCAAGTTACATTGGTACCATGTGCAAGAAGTCGAAGAAACTGTCCTTAAAAAACCAACAATGTGAACTGTTACATGGTGCTAGCGTTAGTGCCCGACTAGTTTCATCATAAATATGGGGAAGAAAGAAAAGGCTGGTTACAACAGCTTTTACTTTTACAATTTACAAACATTACAATTTTATACACAAAAATAAAATATTTTAGATTTTCCACACAGGCTGAAATTAAGATGTCAAGGCTATCACTCACTGATCGATTCGATCAGGGTACATGTATTGGCATGAATATCTCAAATAGAGTACAATGGAGTCCGCTTGAACCGAACAAGGTTAATCTGAAATTGATCATCCATTACTAAATATAATCCTTGAATATTCCCTTCTTCTAGTTGAGCAATCTCTTTAAATCGAAGAAAAATCCGGCTGTCCCACACATTTTAGTTTGAGCGGACTCCACTCCACTGTACATTTGTACTGTTAGTTCACAAACACGGGTCAGGAAGACAAAACTTTTTTTTGATGAGAATTTCATCCCTTACCAAGATCCTTGTGTGACCTCGATGACCACAAATCAAAGTCTGGGGGCAGAGTGATGACAAATACTGATACAATGTTGAGCTGGTAACAACATGTTCATCCAATGTATCCTATCCTCACCACATGATTTGCTTTACATTAATTCTTATTTCTTTCCCTCGGTCTATCTTGCTTTTTTTGGCCTGTTGTTTTTGTCTATCTTGTTTCTTCCCTGCACTACCAAATGACTTCTTGTAGTTGTAGCCATGCGCATTTCTTTTCTAACACATCCCCCCCTCTCACAAATTTAAAAAAAAAACAAATCTATGTTTTACCAAAGGAGAGAATTCGAATCTGACAGACGTGCAGCATTTAAGAACAGAAAGAAAGACCTTCCCTCAGCAACAAATCTCTTATCGCTGGTTACGTATCTATGTAAGCAAAGCCACTGAGCTCAGGTTCAGTTAATTTTCCATTAACATTATATTGCTGACAAACCCTCCTCTGGTACAGTCAGTGTGCTGAACCCATCAACAATATATTCTAAATCTTTGACCAGTCTCATCAAAAACCTACTGCAAAAATCTTAAAGCGGACACATAAAGAAGAGGAGATAAGTTTTGTAGTTTTAGTAGAGGTTTTACAGCGC